ATAAAATGTCCATTAACGATACATTTAGAATAAATTGTCTTGTAGTTAAGTGAAAAAATATATACTTTTCCGTTTCATGTTTCATGACTGTCATATTTATCCCTTAACCTCAAACTGAAGCATCGGATATTTTTATTCCCGTGAAATCATATAGAATATAGAATATAGATACTTTACTATTACTCAAAATTTATGCTTTTTAGGTAACGTCGGGTATTGACACTAAAATGGTAAGGGGGCTTGTGACTTGTGACGCCTTCGAAGCATGGGACAGAAAATTACATTGCATGTAAGGTATATTCTTATATCTCGTCTGTGTTTATATTATGTATATCGTATATAGTTTATACATACGTTTATGTTTATGTGTTTTTATAACATATATATTATAATATATAACATATTAAGTATAGTGTTGTATTTTATTTTCTCTCAACGCAGAAACAACATTTGTGTTGGGTATCAAGGTTAGGAAAATATAATTCGATACAAGTAGGTATCGATACCTTGGTGGTATCGATTTAACTCTAGAAACACACCTAACCACGTCGACAACTCACGAGAGACTGCAAATTTTCGACTGCTGCGTGATTTGTTTTATGTAGAGTCTAGCGTAGTGGGGATGAGGTATTGCGGAAGTGGTCGACCGTCGACCTTTGCAGGTATCAGGCATATCTGACGACATTTGCACGCATCACTTTGGTTATCTTATTGTATCTTGTATATTGTGCTACATAGCGTAGAACCAAATAGGTTCTCGTACATGCTAGCGTGGAACCAAAATGGGTAGAATCCGTAGAATCCTACTATTATTCCAGAATTGGTCGCTTGGTGCAGCACTTGCCCGGGAACAAGGAATTCTCGGGCGTTAGCACTCTCATTTCCTCTCTAATGTATATATGTACATGTTTACACGTATGAATTTTATCAGCGGGTGCCGCGTGTTGCGTGTCATCTTCCCTCTTCGCCCTTTACATTCACTGAGTTCACTGAGTCACCTCCTTCCACCTCCTCCTCGTGTAGAGCATTGTAGGTGATTGTAAGGTGTAGGGTCAGACTGACCCGGTCAATTGCCATTCGTGACAGTACTTATAGATGACAGTCAATTGCAGAGAAATCGGAATACAACACCGCGTTGCAGAGCCGTAATTCGTTGTAGAAGAATTGCTGAAGCAGTGGAAATATTTTTTTATTTCAGACCATGAATTCAAGATTCGATGTCTTACGAATACCGGACTGTGTCATTCTGTAAGTGCAAGAAGATGCAAAACTGTCGTTGCGGGGAGGACTACGGTAAAGAGTGCGACCGTCTTATGCTACTTGAGATTCCTCATCTTTCAGAACAATGTAATGACATCTATTTGTAGCCATTATGAATGAAATCCCATTGTTTTCTAATAAACACGAATTCGTCTTTGTAAAATATTCTCTATGTCAATACTATGTATGTATGCTAAACAGATGTTTCGGATTTCGTAATAACCAATGCCTGTTATAAAATATGACTACATACAAGTTTGATGCAAGATTTACTATAAATAACTTGCGCGCACATTGGCAACAACATAGGCAGAAAATTGGCCAGCATAAATCTTGTTCCGGTTTTGCCTTCAATTTGACATAGGTCTTGTTGTAAGACTTTCTGCCAATTTGTTTTACCATTTTGTCAGCTGGCGTTGCCCGCAAAACTCAAGTCAAATGCGGAAACGAATGGCTATGGTTTTTTAAATAACTTTTGTCATTCATTGTTGGCAAATTGCTCGAAACTTGTACACAACTGATTATCAGAGAAGTTATAATTTTTGTTCATGTGCAGTCTATGAGTGGGTATGGGACAAAGATAATGCCACAACTGGTACCATTTTTTCGGAACAAGACTTGGAAGTTACATTTCACAGTGGGTTCAGTAATGGTACATCAGCAGTTAGGGGCACCAAACTGCTAGAGAAAGGGAGACATCATTATTGGGAAGTTAAAATACTTACCCCTGTTTATGGAACAGACACTGTAAGTGTGTAATGCACACTTTTAGTATGTAACATTGTACAGAAGATTTTTCTTCTTTCATCTTTTTTCCAGATGGTTGGTGTTGGTACAGGTAAAGTGGACATGAATAGTGCCAAAAGTAGTTTCTGTTCATTCCTTGGACTTAACAGGGAATCTTATGGCTTTTCTTATCAAGGGTGTATACAATATGGTGGTAGAACATGCAAGTATGGTTCTAGCTTCGAGCAAGGTACCTTGGTTGGGGTACACTTGAATACATGGAAGGGTACTTTGGAATTTTTTCTTAATAGAAAATCTCTTGGTAAGAGTTTTGTAATATTTTTTTAGAAGTTTCTACATTGTAGTTGCTGTTACTATGATGTTATATTTTAGGCATTGCCTTTAATGGATTAAGGGATACAATGTTATATCCCATGATGTGCTCTACATCTGCACAGACTAAAATGAGATTGACTCATTGCAGTTCTATGCCTGTGTCATTGCAAACCGAATGCTTAGCAGTATTAAGACCATCCCAAAGAGAATATATATCAAGGACATTCCCTGGACTTCGTCATATTTCTGAAAGCGCCTTTGCAGACATATTAAATATAGAATCAAGTAAGGCAACTGTCTAGGAAAAGCATTATTCATATTTGATAGGAGACAGTATTATTTTATTTTTTGCAGAAGACGATGACGATTATGACTTGAACATCCTTATAGACCACATGATTTCCAAAAAAAGGAAGAGAAAGTAAACTTCAATTATAAGGAGGGCACATGTCTTCTTACATTCTTATGTTCGTAATTTAATATTTTATACGTTTTAATTACTCTACTTATATTTCACATTTATATGTAATATATGTAAATATTGAAAATAGTGTTATTTAACACTCGGAGCACAACTCCCGGGTCTATTCGGACTTACGGTTTTATTTTTTTATTCCTATTATTGATCATTATTATTCGTATTATGACTTGTCAAATTTAAAAACAATAACCATTCTAAGCAGAAAACATCTCATACCAGCGTACGTTAGGGTCCGAACGGACACAGCCACACTGCTTGCGCTGTTATAATAAAGTTCTTTGGTTTTTTACATGAAATAGTATATGTATTTATTCTCCCATTTATATTCCTATACTACGTGCAATTTTTTTTTCTTGTTACTATCTTCTTTTCATTACCTTTACGTTTCGTTTTCGGCGCAGTGGTAGTACCACCATTGGTATTTATTTTTGCACAGAAGACAACAGCTTGTGCCCAACCAGCATAGGGACCCCACAACTCACATAAGTAATTGCCAATTTCTTTGTGATTGACTTTTTTTTCTTTCTTTAAATGAGGCAAATAATTTTCCTTAGCAATTTGAGAAATATGTGTATCTACAGGAACAGCTTCTAAATGACCCAAAGCCATTAAACATACACAGTCAGCAATCTTTGGGCCAACCCCATCAAGAGTTATCAATTGTTCTTTTGCTTCAGCATACAATACATTATTGTCTTTATGCAAACTTAAGAGCCATTCTTTTCCACCAAGTTCCATTAAAGCTTTTGCAGCTTTTGGTATGTATCCTGCACGATATCCAAACTTTGCTTCCCTTAAATTTTTTTCAACATTTTCTCCTGCTAATGCCTCAATGGCTGGAAAACTGTAGTAATCTTTATCCTCAATGGAACAAATTTTCTTACCGAATAAGGAACACAATTGCTCTACCATTAATGATATCCTAGAGATTATACACATGTTTAAATGACATTAAATGACAATAATGTGTGAGACAAACCTTTTTATGTTGTTGTTTGAGCTACATATGAAAGAGAAGACAGTTTCAACAACATCTTGATTCAATATCCTAACACCGTTTGTTTTATCCAATGATTTTTGGAAATGTTCATCTACAGCAGCCCATTTTTCACAAAGGTCTGCCAATGACATGTCTAATCTAAAGTACCTAGATAATATATCATTATAATTTTTGGAATCTTCTAATGCACCTTGGACAATGTAAGATAAATGTGTATCATTTTGCACTAGGGTCCAAACACATCCATCGAAGATACCTCTATATCCATTCTCATGAGCAAACCATCTAAAAGAATAAAAATTTTTTGTTGTTTGATCTTTCAAAACAAACAAATATATAAGTTTGCCAAGGATCAATATTATTCTGTTCCACTAAATATCATGCTGAGAGAAACATGAGCAAGTATCGTATGTGGAAATATTGGTTATCCTTGGTGGTTAAAAGGAATTAAAGTTTATAATTTACCTAAAACTTTGCCCTCCTTTTAGAGTGATTCCCAAATCCAATTCCGACCGTGAACAAACAATATCTCCTTGTTTTGTGTTGACTTCGTTTTTATGTATTTTCATTGTGAATCGCCTCGTACTTAACACTACTATAACAGTGGCAGTTCTTTTTATTCTATTCGGCAATACATATGATTTAATTAAGCAGAAATATTTAATCATTTATAGGTAATTCATGAAGAATTAACAATCTTTAGTATTTAAATGTATCGTTCTATATACCACAATAGACCGCGTTTGTTAGAATCCATTTTGACAGAATCAGGACAATCACGTGCGTCCGTCAACGTGGGAGATTCAAATTCGAATTTGAATTTCAATCGATAGAAGGTATACTAACGAAACTAATCTTTACGACCCTTCACAAAACTTTATTATAATTATTCTCGTAATGCTTGTCGTCTTTTATTGAAGATGATAGTACAGTTTTTCTATCATACATATTTACAACAATAAACCTACTAGTAAATATAGATCAGAGACATAGGTTCTGTATTTCTCTTCATAGTTGTGTGAACTATTTCCATTTATACAGTATATATATTTTCATAATTGTAGTACGTTTGAATTGCAAAAGAAATGTTGTCCATCAGTAGGTGAAAGATTCCCAAATGTTTAACAATATGATATATTGCTGATATTAAACAGTTGTTACTGTTTCTTTTTACACTTTTTTTTTTAGGATGTTCTATTTCAATTAGACGATTTAGAAATAAAAAGTTTTTAACGTTAGAATGCATGACTTGTTCTACGATGCTTTCGCAGTAGCATGCCTCACTCATACATAAATACAAACATACCAAGTACATGTAAAAAATAAAGATAAAAAAATTTTTATTAACCAAAATAGATCATCAACTCGAACGTTGCTAGATTAAGAACTGACTCGTCTCCACTTTATAGCGGTCACCATCGGTGCCGATTAAGCTACACCTTAATATTGATTCTCTTCTAGTTTTTCCATGCTTGAAAAATTACGCTACTTGATATGTATAGTTTCAATATGCTTTATCTACAGAATAATTTATTTGGCATCTTTGGAGACGATAACGACTACACGTCTAGCATATAGATAATACAAACAATACCCTGTCTATTTTGAACAGTTTTATCGACGAATTCATTCCGCCTCACAAATGTTCAATTAAGGGACTCTTATTTTCTTAGTATTCGAAACTCTGAGATCAAATATAAAATGTGCGTAGTAATTACACTGCGGATGTTCATACAAAATGCAAATGCAAATATAACAAAATAATCCATCTAGCAAAGACAATTACAACTCTTATGTTCCTGATAACTCAATGAAGCTCTTAACCAGTGAAATAATTTTTTTCTTCAATTTCAGTTCTCGGAAAATGGTCCACGGTAAAAGATTCCGCATAAATATTCAAAGTCCATTAATCACTAATCAAAAGACAGTGTGTCCAGTATTACCGTAGGCCCGAATGGAAGTATATGATATACCTGAGGAAATTTCATTATACTATTGTATAAACCATGGGTGTCAAACTGGAGGCCCGCGACGTGTATTTTTGTGGCCCGCAACGACTTATTATATTTTGTACGAATTGAAAATATTGTCAAAATGTAGGAAAATTTAAATTTCTTTGTATATAATACATAGCGGGATCTCCACTATAATTATTCGATTAAACTGTGAAATTGAAACATTGAAATAACTAAATAATATAAATACATATCGTGCGGCCCGCATGAATTCTACTTGTTAGACAAATGGCCCGTGATTGAAATGAGTTTGACACCTCTGGTATAAACGATGAAGGACCCGAAACCGTGACCACTAAATGGCACCCTATCGTAGCACAAGGTTGAATCTAAAAAAAATTTACAGTTTCATAGCTCCCCCCCTACGACCTCTATGTATTGTCACTCGTAGAATCAGACGATGATTAGTTGACAAGAAGCTGCTCGTTCTCCTTCCCCTCTGGTCTCTGTCGCGGTTAAATACTCATTTAAAATATTACATCCCTGAGAGTTGGTATTGACAATCTCTAGAAGAAGAATATTCCGAATCTCTGTTTCCCATCTGTCTCGCCCCGAATCTCTGTGCGTTCGGATTAATAAGAAACATTGTCGCGAACGTGGGCCTTCTTCTTGTACTCGTGCCGTTGGCACTTGCCCATCCAAGACCATTTCGTACACACCTTCTGCGGCTTCAGGACGAAGCACTTGGTGCGAAGCACGTCGAAGAAGATTCTCCCGATGAAGTTCGCGGACGCAGTCCCGGACATTTTCAAACACGTACGGAAACTGAAACCGAGAACAGAACACGATGTCTGTCGAGACCTTCAACGAAATCGACTCGAAACACAAAGTTTCACCAGAATGTAAAGTCGATGGGCACGATATTGTGTCCTCGTAAAACAATTAAATTGCAAAAGTGCCACCTGTTTCGGTAGCTGAAACTGTAATTTGAGACGCCTAAGCCTCTTCAGGACCGTATAATGTTAATTCGGAATGGGTAATCTACAGTTTAATTTTTACCAATATCGTAATTACTATTGAGTAGGAGGCGGCAGAAGCTAAATAGCGTATATTTTTAATGAAATATTTTAAGCAGAAGTTTTAAATATCAATTTACAAATGACGTTTGCTATTTTTGCTACGAGGCCCCTTATATACGTCGACACAGCCCTTGGTTGTGGTTACATGAATAGGCGACCCTAATAAACGCTCAATTTTTTAAGGACAAAATATCGTGCCCATTGACTTTACGTATCGGGAAGGGTAGCAGGACAGTCTACCGTTCGTCGCAGGCGCAATGCATCATGCTCGAGATGCCCCAATTGAAGAGGCCGTAACGCGTCTCGAAAGCCGGTATGAAGAAAGGACAGGCGGTGTCGTGTCTACGGCAACAAGCGTCTGCGCTGCCGAAACCGCCGAGATTCGTGTATTTCGTGGCACGATGACCGCGTCCGCACCATTGTGTCCCCGGGATCATCAACAAGTCCCTTCTAGAACGACTCTTTCCTCTTCTCTGTTTGCGGCCGATGTTTGTCGTGTTCAACAGTTTCGCGTATTTCCTGTATCAAAAGCATTTCCTATTTAAGACAGATAGAAAGAATAGAACCTACGAAACATATGTAGTAACAACTTCTAGAATCAATTATTCCAAGTCACCGAAACAGTCGTTCTTCCCTCACTTCCCAATAATTGATACGACTCGACATAGATTCACTTAAAATTGTCAAAATCCAGATAGTACATGACTAAAATGACATAAAGGCGCCTTAGACCTAACATAGCCATTAAATACACGTCTTCAAGGAGTTATCTGGGATTATACGCCCGCAATGATATCTGGGATATCTTGCACCCGTACAAGCAAACTCTGCTTCCTCAAGGGGAAAAAGTGGCGTAGAAGAAAAGTTTCCTGCCACATAATAAATTTATTTCAACTACTGAAATAAATGTTAAACCGAATGTTAATTTCGCATAAATTTCAGTGACTCCCAAGTGGTAGGAGGCCCTTCCCTCACGCCACTTTTCCCTTAGTAGAAACAGAGTTTGCACGCAAGGGTACCACGTGTCGTTCTCTTTGAGTCACGGTGGTATAAAAAATGTCCCACCTTTATTTAAAACCCAAATCGCACAGTGGGACGTTATTCATACCACCTTTAAATCGTGGAATTACTCAAAATAAAACATAATTCAAGTAGAATAATATTTCCGACACATTTCATACAAAAATATGTATGTCCAACTAGGTATTTCTTTTATTGTAAAATCCTGTGCTTCAAAGAGTTAAGATCGTACCTACGATGATGCTGGGCGACGAGTTGGTTTCTCGCCCTGGTCCTGAAGCGATCGCAACGATGCCGTAACTCGGACGTGGACGAGAGCCAGGAGAGGTCCTGCGGTATCCTCGACGCGTCCTCGTGGCCGTCCACGTCGAACACCACGATCGAGGACGTCTGGTAATCGTAATCGGCGGAGTGCGCACTCGACGGGCAGCAGCCCTCGTCCCAAACGGGGAGCTTCTCGTCGACGCAGTCGGTCAGCGTGCCGCCCTCGTATATCAGTTGCAACTTTCTGCCGGTCTCCTGCAGCCAGACTTGCCTCAGTGCTACGTCCGTATCTCTACCACAAGGGGAGGGGGCATATGTCGTGAGAACAGAGTTCTAAGCTGCAATACAGTGATTCCTCGATGAATGCGACACGAGCAACGGCGTTATTCCAACCACTGGGGGAATTCCCCCTGTGAAACCAATCAAATCTGAGTAAACAGAAGCGAAGCAGAGGCTCGGCTTCGGGCAAAAAACAAATTTATGAGGGGCTGAAAACATATCCGGCTTGCCACGAATGCGCCGAAGCGGACTCGATTATGTCGCGCTGATAGAGAAATTACTGTATTTCTGATTGGCCCGTCACGGTCGGACCGGAAGTGATATCCACACCACTAACGGCAAGAAATGGGTCGGCATTGTGTAATGTACGTACAATAAATCTTCGATAAGTGCTCGAAGGCTCCTCCGAACTGAATATTAAAGATTTCATAAACTTGTTGGAACAAGGTCTTCAGAATTCCAAGCTCTATCACTGTGATCTCCCCTTGTTAGTGGCGAGGAGTGTCAGTTTGTCACCGAGGGACAAATTAATACGAATACTTTTTTTTCCATCGAACACTCAGTCTCCTAGAGGTTAGGGTACATATTATACAGACATCTCTCACACCTAGACTGCTTTCACGAGTTTTTCGCGGTATCTCTACCGGTTGCTGTACTTAAAGCAGCATACCTGTAGCTCCGACCGTGAAGGGTTTACATAAAACTTCCGTAAACGTTCGTTTCGCATCGCGCGGACGAAAAGTTTTTTTTTTCTTTTTTTTTTTTTTTATCAGGCCTCGTATAAAAGCTACCGTGAAAAGGGGGTGTGATCCGGTGTACTCGATTGAGACGCGTGACTCGAAACGGGCGCCTGGGGTTCGGGTCCAAAAAATCGTGGAGCGTGACGCGCGATTAATGCAAGCCGAAATTCACGCTAGATTGGGTGTGCACGCGCGTAACTGGATCTGATCCGTGATTAACGTGCACCTATGATTGATGTTCCCACCGCCTTATTTTGCGACGCGTCGATAAGCATTATATCCTGGGCGTCATTGAATTTGTTCTGGCTCATGTTCGATTGCTACCATTGGCGTAGCTAGGTTATCAGTGGAGGGGAGGCAAAATTGATCTTAAAGTAAATTTCATATAATTTTCCTTCTTTGGAGGATGGAGAGGGGGTGGAATCCAATTCTTTCCCCTCTAGGGGAAAGGCAAGTTTTTTCTCTCTAGGAGGGTCAAGTGTCCCCTCAGTTCCCCTGGCTACGTCCACTGTTGCTGTCAATAATAATGTTTCATTTGTGCTGGATGATTCTGCCAGCTCTTCGTTGGGGTTCACGATCGAATCCCCCGATCTTTATGTCCTTCCCAAAATTAAACAGGTATTTATTTTACAAAAGATCCTGTATCTGTTCCTCAATTTCCGGAAATGGAAATCCTCGTGGGTTTTACAGAAAATGTAGGTACACATGGAGACTGGCTCAAAGGGTATTCGAATCTGAACGATTCTTATTACCTTGCAGTTTATCTCCAATTTTAACTCTTCCTTTAAAGTCGAAGATGTGCAACAGAAGAATGCTCGAGTAATATAAAACGTCGTCAATCGAAAGGTTTTTAGGGTTGTCCTATCCTATTGCCGAACAGAAAAATTGATCGTCCCCCGAATCATGAGAAAACAGGCAGCAGCTCCGTGCTTTACAGGAGAACGGGCTTCCACCCGTAGATTTAAAGTGCCGGTTGACGTTTCGCGGTCGTCGAATTCCCTGGTATCCTCGTGAGAGCATCGGCAGATGAGTTACAACTGCGCCGCACTGTCCTTCAGGAACAAGCTCCTGGCTCGACCTAATCCTTGCTTACTTAACTCGCCGCTTTTCAGCTTAAGGCCCTCGGTTGGCTTAGGCGGCCGCTGTCCATCGTCGCGCGTCGACAAATTGTTTTTCGGATCCGGAGAATTCTCCGCGACGCGACCAACCCCTTCGACGGTGGCACTCGATGAAAAACAACCCGCCCGATTGGAACCGACGAAAATCAAGAACCCACGAAACGAAACCACCGAAAAAGTGTCGTACAAATGAAATGCTCGAGAACTCGGCTACTTAACGCGAAATCCTTAAATCGTTATTTCATTACAAAACCGGTATGTACATACATTAGGCTGAATCGTAAATAACTTTTACCTTTTTTCGAATTTACGCCGATGCAAGATATTTTACTACACAAGGGTTGAAGGGTTAAATCGGGGGGACATCAATCTCGTTTCTGCATCTATATTCCAGGACCACGTCGGTGGTCTCGATTCATTCAGGGACCGCAAAATGGCGAACCGAAAAACCGCTCTAGCAAAGTGCCCACCCATTTCCATTAGGAATCACGAACCAGAAAAACGTCGTGGAAACCGGCGCAACGGGCGCCTCGATCCTCTTCCTTTCTTTCTCCACGACTCTATTATTTTCTCTTTCCTTCGTTTCGATCTTTTCTCCAAAAGGAACAAGGTGTAATTCTACAATGAGCTTTCCGGCCGGCTGACAAGGACGTGCCGTGTGACACGAGCTAGCGCTGGTATCAGCGCCGCGTATTGGTTCTGAACGATGGCGTTTGAAAGAAGTAAACCAATGCTAAATACACCCTTCCCCCACCACCCCCCACCCTTCGTCGCATTGGCGACGATGAAAGCCGACATTGTTTTCCTGCGCTTCGTTGACGGAGCAAAGTACAATGTACTCCTCGAGATTTGCTTCTGCCCCGTGAAAAAATGTTATTCCAGCAAAGAGGATAGGGAGGGGCCATGTTGGTGTACTACTCCCGAAAAAACACCGGACGTCGAGAAATTCCATGAGGCGAGGAGAGCCTACATCTTGTTATAACGTCGGATACGGTGAACGTTAGAGGGGGGATGGTCTTTCGGATGACAAAGAACGCCATTGACTTGCAGTTATTGTTAATTGATCATTACTGGGAACATGATATGGTTATCTATAGTACTATATGGGAACGATCGTTTTAAAAATTGAGGCAATTCCTTTTGATACCTGGACTATGGTCTTTCAGTTTATAACCTACTACGGTCTATCAATTCGACAAGCACCATAACAAATAATTTAATAAAATATCATTTATCTTAATTAAAACGATTGTCAAAATGGTGTCCTTCAGCTTCAACACCCGTTCGATGTATCACGGGGAAAAAATATTTTTTATGATGCTTGTAGAATTCCTCTCAGTGCATGCTAAAAGATGGGCGCAAAGAAATCATTATAGGTTTGTCTATAAATGATACTGAAGGTGACCTTGAAAACTCTGGAAAAAAAATGGTTCGTACAAGAATTGGCGTGCTTTCGTGGACGGGACGAGGAAAATTCTGTTTACCCCCAATTGACGACGGTCTCCTTGGCGCAGATTCCGCGCCATCGGGTCACACGCTCGTGTTCGCCATCTCGGAGGATCCGGGTGACCGTGATACCGTGACTCGGCTCGGTTTTGCTCGTCTCCAGTGAGGAATTCCCGTACCGTGGGACGTTCGACAGCTCTAAGCGTAGCGCTTCAGCGTCCAAGAGGAACAGCACCAGCCCCAGAACGAGCAGCATCGGCCGTGTGATTCGCCTTCCGTTCCTGGACAAGAATAATTTTGTTTTTTGTATTGGTGGAGATGACGTCTGAACACTCAGAGCCATCGGACACTTATCCGCGATCTATGTATACTGAGTGAAATTATCAGAGTTTCGAGCGTTAATCAAGAATTTACCGTATTAATTTTGACATCGATACGGTGACCCAGGGTTGTCCCTGGTTTATCGTGAAACGGATCGGCGGTGACACGGTGGGTACCGGATCTCTGGATTTTTCTGGCGATTTTATAAAATTAAAGGGACGTGGATTCGACAAGGGTTCTCCAGCGTGCCGCTGATAACCGACGGTGGCGAGTCCCGTCGTTTTCTTGCCGTCCGTTTCACGGTGGACTGTTCTGGCAGCTCGCCATCGGCCGGCTTAAATCATCGCCTTTTCATCGGCGCAGATAAAAAGAAAGCCGCGCCTTCTACGTATCCACGGCTCCTTACGTAATTAGCACGTATCATCGTTCGCAGACCCGGTATGTTCCAGAATTGTGCGCTTTGTTACGTCGAGACCGAAAGGAACGAAATTGGAATCGAATGGAACCCACTAGAACAGAGTTGGGCAGAATATTTATTCGAAAGATTCATAGCGAGAAGCAGCAGTATCTAAGATCGACGTTTTGACCTTTAAACGATTAATGAGATTAAATAATTGTTTACCAAGTTATCGACTCCTCCGAGAAGAAATATTATTGTATTAAAACAATCAGAATTTCCACGTTTAATCGATTAAAAATGACGAATTACTTTGGTTTTTCTTTATCTTTTATTCGTTATTCGAAACTCTTTATCTGGATAATGAATTTATCCGTGTCTGGTACGATATAATTATCGTACACTATCTTCTCTATCGCAACTTTTTCGTATAGGTTTCTAAACAAATTTTACACTACTGATTTTACTAGATTATTAGTATATAGATATGAACTGACGCGTTTCTCGAGTTTCTTTTCAATTCTGGCACAGTTCCACAGAAATGGTACAGCCGTAGCTTTTACATGAACAGAATACGATTAATTTTGTCAATATCCTTATATTTAATCTCATCTAGGCAGTGGTCTATGATTCTAGAGACATATAGTCATTCACGAAAGTCTTCGTGCATTCCATAAAAAAGTTGATTAATATAAGCAGTAATTTCGTATAATATCGTATTGATTTTATTAACCCCTTAACGATCAAATGTTTTATCCCATTTTCTGTCGAAAAATGCACGAATCTTTTTGGACAGAAATTTATATTCCAGTTCGACCAAATTGAACCCCGTTTCGGAATACCCGTATACGTCACGGGCACGGTCGTTAAGTGGTTAATCTATGAGATAATACCCAGCAGGCAATATTAACTATTTTGTAACAAAATATAGTATATAAAAATATTTTAACAAATATGAAAGGATAACGAATTATGGGTGTACGAAGGCTTTCGTGAGTGACTATAGGTAGTACAATAGTACTAAAAATGTAGGCATTCAATGTATAAAAATAAAATTGCCAGAACAATTTTGTCTAATCAATTCGAATTACTGGTGACGTTAACTTGGAAATCTGTTCTTAGAACGATTACACGTGAAACGTACAGTGAAGAGAAAAAAAAAGGTATCCGATTAATCTTTCCCGTGCGAACTATAATCGGGGCGTCGTAAATTTCATGCAGTTTCTTTGCGAAAAACGTTATCGTATCGAAGTCACCTCGTGCGCCGGGGCTCACGCGTAACTCAACAGAAAGACGGAGATAACGAGCGTCGCGCGTATCGATATCGTTTTTCAAGCCGGATCCGTGACAATCGTATTTTTTTCGCGTATAACAAACGTAACATTGATCAATTAACATTTCCATCGGTCGATCGAATCGTAAATAACGCTCGATGTCAAACAACTTTAGTTTGAAACATTTTTTCATACAAGTTGTTTATCGGTAAATTTAGGTGGTACAGTTACCTAAGTGATTCATTCTGTACATCGATCGGTCGATAAACCTAACAAACTTTCGAAAATTTATAAATTAATCGATTTTTTCACTTTCATATCGTAATAAGTTGTAAAAGAAAAAGTATAGTTATAAGATTTCCATCAAGATTCTATACACGATGTACGTGTAAATTACAGCGAATCGAACATGCAGAAACGCGTGAACGGTTTACCTCTGTAACACAGCCGTCGTCGTCTGCATCTCATCCGCGTGCGAAACAACGAACCAGTCCCCGGCGCGGGCGTTCAAGATCTTCCATAAATCTCGTGCAACCACTTCCTCCGTGAACCGCCGTCGTCGAACCCGTTCAGGGAACGGGACATTCGTTCGTATTCGACTGGACCACCGCGGAAACTGTCCCCCTCCACCCCCACTTGTGCATCACCGGAGCTTGACCGATATACAAGACGTACAACAACAAAAAAGAAATCAAAATCTTTCCTTAAAAATCTCGAACCTACTATGTTTTTACAATATTCCCGACAATTCCAATTTCCCGTGCCTAACGAACGAAACTTTTCACTGTACGCATACACCGATCATAGAACACGATGAACAATTGTTTTTATTTTTCGGGACCAATGGAAGCAGTTTCGATGAAAAATAAAATCGTGCGTACGAGTGTCCACGTGGTGGACCCGCGCGTACGTATATAATTCTCGCGCCTTTTTTCCTTGCTCGTGCGCCCGCGGTGAAACCGTGAGAGACGTCCCCGGAAGGTACACGTCTCCGTTGGCGAACACCTCGTGGAGGCAATCGGCCGTAGTAACTGGCGCGCTACGCTCGCGACTCTCCCTTAAATACTGCCACCACACACATACATACACACATACACTGAGAGAGATATAGAGTGTGTGTTCTCTCCGGTGGTTGTCCAGTTTCACCTATACACACCAAGGGGCCCGTCTATTCTGTCACTTACGGGTATATACCCTATACACTCGCTTTTCTGCCGCGCTCTTCCCTCGTAGCCCTGGTCGTTTCCCATCCGCAACCCCACCACCACTCGGACACCAACCAAAGTCTCCAACTCTCTCTCTCTCCCCCTCTCTCTCTCTCTCTCTCTCTCTCTCTCACTGCACTCCCCCTTACCATGCTTCTACGGCACACCTACTCACCCACCAACGAGCCGCCTCTGCCAAATCCAATCCTACCCACTCACCCTGAGATCTAATCCCCGCACTCTCTCACTCTTTCTTTTCGCCCTCCCCCACCCCCCCCTCTTTTCCTACGCCAGTAACAGAATCGCTCTGTTGCAGTTTCTTCCCCCTTTCGTGTTCTTGGTCCTCTTCCTTCTCCCACCTCGGTATCTCACTCCTTTCTCCCTTCGTTTTTTTCTGCATCCCTCTTTTCCGCTTCTGAATTCCGCGCGCCTCTTTCTCTTCCTTTTTCCGCACCGACCCCCTCCGCCCATTTCTCTTTCTCCAACCGCCCGCGTCGTCTTTGGATCTCGCGTGTCTATCCAGCGCTCCCCCTCTTTTCCCTAACTCCCACATACACCCTTTTCTCGTCGTCGTTCGTTCGTTCGTTCCTTTGTCCTTGCTCGGCAGTCACTGCTTTTTTGTACCCCTGATCCTTCTATCGTCTAGGCGACTCACTCCCGCGAACAGACTTTGGTAAATGCCGTGGCATCCATCACCGACCGTCACCCGTGGTGGCCCAGGAATCGTTCCACGACGTGGTGGATCGCGCGTGGGAGGGGGAGGAGGTCCGTTGGAACAAGGAGGGTGAGGGGGCAAGGGACACGGTACGGCGAAATCGATGACAGGTCGACTAGGCTGACGATCCAGGATCGATGGAGTGAAAAAGGAATCGTGGTCTGTATACCTACAGGTCTCTTCGATCGAATTGTCGACATATATGGTGAACCGGTGCAACGCTCTATAATACTAAAATAGATCTCAGCGTTTTCAGTTAGGAAATTCAAGTATTCCCCCCCAAAAATAACTAAAAACGAAAGAAGGAATCAATGTAATATTGATATTACCGACTATTAACATAACAAAATATAACATATATATATCAATCTGACAATTGTGAAACAACGATTAAGGGTCTGGGCGTTAAAGGGTCCAATGCAATGGCTTCTGCGGCCTACCAACAAATTTCAGACTAGTTCGCGCGGTTTCTGCGTAAAGGGGAAAGAAAGGAGGGTAAAAAATGCACACACGTGTGGATTATTTCGTCTGGACACCGTTCGATGACCCACAGCAAGAATCGAATGAGGATGATCGGCAAGGTCAGCGTTCGCCGTCAGCGCCTCAGAATTTTCCCGAGTTCGACGTGTCGGTGCTGTACGGCGGGAAGGAACCGTAGCTCGGATGATAAATTATGCAAGCCCGTGCGACTCGAACGGTCCTCGTCATTGGCCCGTGAGCCCCTCGGCGGATTCGTGCCGCGATTGGCGGCCAGCCAAAGGTCGTTTTTCGCGAGGCCCCGCGATAAACTTTCGTTCCTTCCCCCCTCTACCCCACCGCCCGTTCTCGGCCGACGGCGTGTGCAACGGTGGAAGCATTGTCGCGCGAATTAGCGACGGTGGCTCGGCTCTTCAATTTTTCCGGCGGTTGGATTCCATAGAAAATCCACCGACGTACTCCGGAATGGATTTCCCGTGGTCGATTTCTTACTTCCGGCGCATGATCATCGCGTGAAATATATTCCTCGGTGGCCTGAGAGAGCGTCGATCAGTTTATATAGCGTACAGAGTGTCTTAGAGAGATTTAAGGCGAAGGAAAAATTATAGACACCGTAGAAACATGACATACGTTCTTTTGAAGCCTTCGAACGCTGATCGAGGATTTATTGTGACTGTCTAATTTGTTGTAGGGACAACCTAGACGGAGATTTCTATATTTGAAGCTATATAATTCTATTAAAAAAAACATATGTCACCTTGATATAACCTCTACATATGGATAGTTCTTCATAAACCCCGGGTTATACGAGGGTCACCTGCGTCTCAAATGGCGCCAGTGATCTATCCCTAGGACACTAAAGTATAT